ATGTATTTGATAATTTAACATTTACTCCCATAAATCCTTCCGGAAAATGACTTGTAATTTTATTTTGACTGGAAATTACTCTCTATATAATTTGTTGACTATTTCATCAACCCAAATTTTGTGTTTGGACAATAGTTTTGGCAGTTAAAGCATGTGTAACCAAATTAGTGATGCATTGATTATTCTCTGTTAATTTCATAGACTTTATTTTATCTTGCATATCTTAGTCTTATCTTAAGTTCATTAAAAAATGTTTTTGGAACATAACAGAAAAGCGTTTTGTTTTCTCAAGGATAACCTAAATATTTTGTTGTTTCAGTGGGAACCTGTGCAATATTTTAATAATAAGATTATCTGTGATGTAGTAGAAGGTAAACCAATGGGTATAATAGCCATATTGGTAAGATATTAATTCATTTCATTGCTGTAACTTCTGTTATGTAATTTCATTGATGTACAATTTTTCTTTGTATGTACAAATTTCTTCCACTGGCATTAAGTTCTGGAAGGTTAAGGATGAACAAATTGTAATATTTCCCTAGATTTACAATTTTTCTCATATAGTTTAAATGTCTGTACACATGATGTAGATTTTATATATGTACACATGATATAAATTTTATATATGTACTCATGATGTAGATTTTCTATCTGTACACAAGATGTAGGTTTTATATCTGTACACAAGATATAGATATTTTATCTGTACACTAAGTATAGGTTTTATATCTATATACAAGATGGAGGTTTTCTATCTGTACACTTAACCCTTTGAACCCTGAGTTTAAATGAAATATAACGTCATATATACCCTGAACTCCAAGTAATAAAAGTAAAAGCATATGACGTTAACGTTGTATGACGTCACTTAGTAACGGCTGGTATACCAGCTGCTCGGGTAAATATTGTGTTAGTGTTTGCCCAGTAAATCAGCCGCAAGTTTTGAATGGGTTAATGTAGAATTTATGTAGAATTTACATCTGATTACAAGAAGTAGATCTTATATCTGTACACAAGATTGTATATCTGTGAATTCAAGATGTAGATTGTATATCTGTGAATTCAAGATGTAGATTTTATTTCTGTGAATTCAAGATGTAGATTGTATATCTGTGAATTCAAGATGTAGATTGTATATCTGTGAATTCAAGATGTAGATTTTATATCTGCACAGAAAATGTAGATTTTATATCTGTAAACAAGATGAAGATTTTATATCTGTGAATTCAAGATGTAGATTTTATATCTGTTAACAAGATGTGGATTTTATATCTGTTAACAAGATGTAGATTTTATATCTGTAAACAAGATATAGATTCTATTTCTGCAAACAAGATGTACCGTAGATATTTTTTATTATCTGTACATAAGATGATTATATAAGATGTAGATTTTATATAAAAACAAAATTCCATATCTGTAAAGTTGTAGATTTAAAATGTATGTCATGATAGTATGATTTATTTGCAGGATGAAGAATGTTTACGACCTGGTGAACCGTCAGATGAAACATTTTTAGAGAAATTATCTGAAACAATTGGTCAACATCCTCATTTTATAAGTCACCGTATAGCATCGTCTAGTACTAGAAAAACCATAGGGAGAGATGTAAGTTATAATCCATCGGTTGTCTGAATCTTTTACATTAGCATTAAAGTATTTAGTAACAGAACACAATTTTATGGTATACTACTCCTTGGTATTATTGTACACAATGTTTCAACAATCTACATTGTCATCATCAGGTGAAATGAGGAAATTCCTGTGCCAGATTTGTAGCCTGCACTAAGGATGCCTGAATTCAACACAGTTCCCTTTCAATCAAGATATTTAATCCAGTCAATTCAAATTTTATATAGTTCAGCAGTTTGGGTTATCTTCTCTTTCATGTCTTACTGCCTTTAATTCAGATGTGATTTCCATCATTTTAACTTTAATTTCTAAAGTTGCAAGCACACGAGCAGTCTTGGTTGGAGATTTCTGTCTCCGACTCGAATGTTGAGTAAAATCTTGCGTGTGCCCGTGCTTCCTGTTCAAGATTATCATGTCGCCGACAGGATTTATATTATCAAACAAGTTTGATAATTGTCTCCAATAGTTTTATTGTCTGGAAGACAGACTGTCATCATCCAATCAGATTCCTTTCCCTTTCAATTACATGCTCCGCACTGGATTATCAACATGGTGGAAATTGACCGACGGGAGATTTTTGTCTCCTTGTGTGCCCATGCCAGCCGTTGAAACTGAAGACAAGACTAATCGGCGACAAAAGTCTCTGACCAAGACTGCTTGTGTGCCGCACCTTAACAAATCGGATTCGTTATGAGCAAAAAAATTTCAAATGAGATTATACATTACATGTATTTATTACAGGAATTTCGATTAATTCACTATGCAGGAGATGTCACCTATAATGTAAAAGGATTTTTAGATAAGAATAATGATCTCTTATTTAGAGATCTGAAAGAGGTATAGTACAATATCAAACATTATTGTATCATTATGTTATGAATAGAAGTGTGTATGAGAAATGCAGCTTTGATTACATCATTCTGATCTGGTACAATATTTACTGATATACAAAATTTTGGACAAATTTTGTTGTTGATAGCTGCCACTCTTTAAATGTCTTGAATTAAGCAAAACTGGTAATGGTGTATGTAATCTTGCTTTGAAAGATATCTTAATACATATTGAAAGCAAAATATCTTGAATTTTGATGAATATATTTTGTGCTAATTAATCTTAAATAATATTTGGTTCATTTCAGGCGATGAGTCAGACCTCTAATATAATCACATCACAATGTTTTCCTGCAGATGAATTATTGAGTAAAAAACGACCTGAAACAGTAAGTAATAACAAAAGGATTATATCTAACATTGTTAAGTTTGACAATTTATTGAATTGATGATTTGTGTGCATCAAGTTCTGATTCAAAACATAAACTTGGATTTTAGGATATAGGTATGACCACAATATAAGTTAAAATCTTAAATCAATATAATATTGTATTTGTTTTTAAATTGTACACATTTGGGCATAAATCTTTCCTCAGATATAGGCCTACTGATAGATTTCAGGCTTTTGCCTTTTAGTCTAAGATATTTTTCTGACATTCATGGTTTTCACCATAATATAAAAATTAGGCCCTGTTTTAAGGGAGATTGTCTGAAAACTGTAAGGTTTATGGGTATACATGTAACATCAGGATATTTACTAGCTCCTTTCCAATGTCTGTGCCACAGACTCTGTGGTTCCTGTAATTCCAGAACAACCTGATATCATGTTATTTTTTAAATCCATGTATATCATACAATCCTATATCTGTCATCTGTTGTATTTTAAAGGCTGCTACTCAGTTTAAAGCTAGTTTATCACAGTTAATGGATATATTGATGTCTAAAGAACCATCATATGTTCGATGTATTAAACCTAACGAATATAAACGACCAGGTAGGTCAATACCATGTCCTTCTGTTGGTTCTGTTAGAACCTAGAACCTTTCAAATTTCTTATGATCATAGAATTAACACACAGTATTTTTCCTTCAAAGTAACTCGAGCAAATGGTGGCTGTGGGTTCTGATCTGATACTTATATTATTCCAAAGTCTTAAGTTTTTGTGAATAAAGTCCAATGTGAACAAATCGCCTGATTTATGAATATTTTTTTTTTTTTTTACAGGTGTATTTGATGAGAAGATAGTAACACATCAAGTTAAATATCTTGGTTTAATGGAGAACTTGAGAGTTAGAAGAGCTGGGTTTGCTTATAGAAGACCCTATGATGTCTTCTTACGAAGGTTAGCTTCAGCATTAGATTAAACTGACCAAATGTTTATGTACTGAAAAAAACGCATGTTTTAAGTGAATCTGAAAATAAAACTGTAATTATTATTTCCCAATATTATGAAGTATAAAATGATATGCGGATATTTTATTTTCAGATATAAATGTTTGTGTCCATCAACATGGCCAAGTTACAGTGGTACTTCTAAACAAGGTACAGAAGAATTAGTGAAATATTTAAATTATGATCATGATGATTATAGAATGGGCAAGTAAGTACATGTACCACCTTTCATTTTATATACTGATAGAAGTATGAACACAATATTGATAAAAATAGTAGCACCACCACCCTACTGGTAGTACAAATAGGGGGCACACTGACTTAATGGTTGATCCAACTACCAACTGCTACGACTACCAACAACTACCTAGTTTGTAATATCAGCATTTGCTGGAAGTGAACGTTAACTTGTCATCTACCAACCAACTGACCAACCAACTTAATGGGTGAGGTTGAGATTCAAAATGCGGCAGATCTGTAGAAGCCCATAGTCACAAACCTCCTATGGAATGTCTTGGAGAGTTTCCTCAGACAAAGATTTAGTGCAGTCTGGCACATATTTTAGGGGAAAAATGAATAAAAATCATGTTTTTATATTTGTTAGAGATAAAGTTTAGCTTTTACAATGTTTGCAATAACTTGTTTATGATTTCAAAGCTTTGATCCAACTAGTGCTAAATTTATACATGTATTGATTAAATATTTACCAAAAATTAATTATTTTTATAGAACAAAACTGTTCATAAGATTTCCAAGAGTTTTATTTGCTACTGAAGATGCATTTCAATTGAAGAAACATGATATAGGTAAGTATATCCTTCAATTTTATACATGTATGTATTTTAAGAAATAAGTATTTGTCATAATCATCCATAAAATTTTGATTTATTAATGGTGCGCTGATATTTGGTGCTGACTCGAATCTTGAGTAAAATCTTTCGACAAGAAGATAATGGGGTTGCCGACAGAATTTATAATATCAAACCAGTTCGTCTGTGAAACTCATAATGAGACTTTAGTCAGTGACAAATATCGTCGACCAAGATTGTTTGTGTGTCTGCATCCTAAGCTTTTGATCCATAACAATATGTTGATGACCCTGTAGAAAGAATGTCTGAATCAATGTATTATTATATTATGATCTTTTTTGCCGAAATTTTCTTTCAAACCTTACATGATCTGTACCGCTCGGTCATTTGTCTTGTCACATGACAAAACAGCGCTTATTTCCTCCTGAAGTATTCACAGTTAAATGAGAGAAACTATAAATATAAAATAGATTTTCTGTATTTATTTTTTTAGCAACTTGTATACAAGCAAGATATAAGGGATTTGCCCAGAAGAAGAAGTACCTTCGAATGAGAATATCTGGTAACTATATTTCACTTGTTGTCTGTGACATAATGAATTATCAATCGATCATTGTTTTTCAGTAACACAACTTTATACAAAAGAGAACAAACAAAAAAAGAAAATTTGGATAAATGTGAGCAAACCATTATCCTGGACCATTTGCAAAATTAGCCAATAGTAAAGCCAAGTGTTGCTGAATTATTAATTTGATAGTCTTTTGAAGTAACTTGTATAATATAAGAAATTTGGTTACTGTGTCAAACGATAATAATATATATATTTCTATTCAGCTATAATTGTTCAATGCCATTGGAGAAGATTTGCAGCAAAGAAAGTTCTAGAAAGAAGAAAACAAGCTGTTAAAGTGATAAGAAAGTAAGATTTAGAAATTTTTGATGTAATGTAATTATATGTCTTTTATAGTATATAAATATTATTTACCCTTGTTCTGACCTTAAAATATGGTCAATTTGAATTACTCTCAAGAATGTTGTATCCTGCCATAGGTTGAGATAATACCTTCAGATTTTTCAACCCGGTTTCCCCCTGTCAGTGATGTAGGTAAGAGGGGCTGACATGGAAAAAGCGTCTAGTCGTTCAGATGGGACAATAAACTGAGGCCCATTGTGCTACAGGCTGTGCACGTTAAAGATCCCTCGACAGTTGGAAATCGAAAAAGAGCAGGCTAATGCTGCTGTCCTGGCAAAATTTCCGTCATTGCACCCTGCATGGCATTGCCCGCGTACATTAGCCCACATGCAGAAAAGTAGGACGTAAAACTCCATTCATTTCATTTCATTTCTCAAGAATGTTGTACAAATTCTGGTTCCTGGTTGCTTCTGCTTAGAAATGAAACTTATCTACATATACATGTATATATTAGACCATACAAAATAAATAGTCTGTTTTATAGGCCTTTTTTTTCAAAAATCGTGGCGAGAGGGCAAATTTATCATTTAAAATTTATAAGCACTTTTTTAGATTTTCAACTGGAACAAACGGGAGCAAGCGAAAGCATTTATTATTTATTACCACGAATTTAATGTACATTAAATATCAAGGCAACAATAAGGCATTTTGGGCCTGTAAAACAGACTATTTATTTTGTATGGCCTGAGATTTAAAACACTTTCAAATGTTGGATTTTATTTTTGCAAGAATCCAATTTTTGTTTTTAAGGTTTATCAAGGGCTTTATGTACAGAAAGCAGCCAGCCTGTGATGAGAATAGGGAATTTATTAAATACACCAAATGGAATTTCTTAACTTCTCTTAAAAATGAATTACCAAAAACAGTCCTGGATAAAAGATGGCCAAAAGCTCCTGAATTGTTGGAACAGGTAATTTAAGCAATTGACAGACCAGTTTAGGGGTTCTGTATCACATTTCGTCAGAGGGTTGGTTCTTTAAAGAACGTTGCTAGGTTACATTGAAAAATTGATGGTTGTCAGTTCTAATCTTGGTCGTCATATACGCGTCTGAAGAGTGGAAGTTTGATTCTGACATAGGTCATAAAAGCCCCATATTTATATTTTGTAATAGAACCTCGTGTTGTTAAATGGGCTGGCCTGAGAAGAATTTTAATTGTTGGGTTCAAACAAATGTGAAACTCAGGATTAGATATATCAAGCTGGTACCGCTTTCCCAGCAATGTTCTCTTCATAGCACAGAGTGTTCAATAGTAGCCTATGACACTCCATTTTGTTTTGTAGACATCTGAACATCTAAGAAAGTTGTGTATGAAGAATCTGGTTTTAAGGTACACCAAAAACATATTGCCTGGTAGAAAGATACAACTAGAACAGAAAGTTATAGCTGAAAATCTGTTTAAAGGAAAGAAAGAATCATATAAATTTAGTGTCAAAGATCTTTTCATTGATAGTCGCTTAGGTATGTCTAATTCTTTAACATAATTTAAATCTCTTGTAGGCTATGTATTAATGGCATTATAATGTTTTTCACTTTTTTTTGCCAAGAATATCAGAAAAAACTCATCACAGATAACAATTAGGCTACCAACTGAAAACATTTAGTGAAAAAAATGAACTGTATTTGCTATCATGAAATATTTTGAAAGGGATGGGGGCTCCATTTTGGGGGGTTGGTTTTAGTCTTGAATATATTTAAATAGTCTTTAGAAGTACTAGAAATGTACAAAAATCTCATAATTCCTTTAAAATAATTCAAACTATGAATTTTACTCACTATTTCTATATATATCTGTTATATATATCACAGAGTATCTTAAATTGATGAGTCGTCATTTTAACATTCAAACTCAGATAATTCTTGACACACAATTTTTTAAAATTTCAACGGTCATATTTTTTGCGTTTGTCACATGGATATTACTTTAATTTTCAGCTGCCCATCATGATGCATTAAAACATAGTGTATTTGATACATCAGTTAAACAATTTGATGAAAAAGTGATTGTAAGTTAAGGTTTTTATACGCCCATTATACGCCCACATGGAAATGTGGACGTATATTGCCGTCGCCGCTGTCCGTTGGTCGGTCTGTCCGTTCACATTTCTTGGTAGGCGCGATAGGAGCTACAGTTTTTATCTGATCTTGATGAAACTTGGTATTCATGTATATATTGATGAGATCTCTGTCAAGTTCAAAATTGGTAATAATCGGATGAATTATTTCAGAGTTATTGCCCTTGACTTAGTAAAAACGCGTCAAATTTGCCTTGTAGGCACGATAGAGACTACAGTTTTCATCCGATCTTGATGAAACTTGGTATTCATGTATATATTGATGAGATCTTGGTCAAGTGGGGAATTGGTAATAATCAGATGAACAGTTTCAGAGTTATTGCCTTTGACTTAGTAAAAACGAATCAAATTTCGATTGTAAACATGATAGAAACTTCAGTTTTTATCCAACCTAGATGAAACTAGGTATGCATCTATATATTGATGAGATCTCACTCGAGTTCGTAATCGGATGAAGGGTTTCGGAGTTATTGCCCTTGACTTAGTAAAAACTTGTCAAATTCGGCTTGCAGGCACGATAGAGACTACAGTTTTTATCCTATTTTGATGAAACTAGATATGCATGATGAGATCTCGGTCAAGTTAGAAATTGGTAATAATTGAATCAACAGTTTCCGAGTTATTGCCCTTGTGTGTACAGAGATGAGACATTGTTCATGTTTGAATTTCATGATAACTTGATGAACTGTTTCAGGTTTTTGCCTAGACTTATAGATGATTTTAAGATTATTTGAAAATTCATTATTAAGCCACTAAAGATTTTGTTATCATTTTGACAGCTGGTAGTGGGCGTATGTTACCTTGCCTGGCAAGCTATCTTTTTTTTTCATCATAGCCTGATTCATCTGTAAAGCATTCTTCATTAAATCATAGGATAGCCGTTAATCCATTTTGATCTGAAAATTGTCCAATTTTATCTGAAAGGAGATTTAAATATGAATATATTGTTGTTGAGAATCTCCTGGCTGCATTTTCTCAAAACAATCCTAGTGCTAGGATATCCTAGATTTTTAACTTCTAAAACTGCTTCTAGTATGTCCTAGCGCTAAAATTATTTCGGCAATATGTGGCCAAATCTAGAAATTGACAATGAAATATTTTCTATTTTAGTATTCATCTGCGGTAACTAAATATGATCGTCATGGTTACAAAGCTAGAAATAGAGTTATGATAGTAACAGATAAAAATATCTATGTTTTAAATGAAAAAGATTTTAAAATCAAAGACAAAGTGGCGTTTAATCTCCTTAATGGTAAGTTGATATACTTGTAACTTCATTCTGAGTAGTAGATATGTAACAGAATATGGTATATTTCCGTGTATAATACACAGTTTTTTATCCCAAAGTGGGCCCCTTACATCAGTGAAATAAAAATTTGGAGTGTTTTTCCCCTACAAAAATACCGCAAATGGATGTTGGGGATCTGCCGTTTTGTCTTCCTTCATTTTCATGTTGTTATGTTTCATTAGACCTTAATGTATTTTGTAAATATTTTGTATTTGAAATTAATAAACTGAATTATTGTGTATGCTCCAAACAGTACCATTTGAAGTTGTTGTAATGATAATAAGTAATAATAAGAATAATATGTAATGTGTGTATATTTCAGGAATAATAGTCAGTCCGTATACAGATGGATTATTTGTCATCACTATCAATATTACAGATAATGGAACTAAGGTAATTTTATTTCTCATTTCCTACATTGAATTCAGGCACAATGACAAGTTGTTGATATTGAATTTAAGGGGAGATAGTTATCTAAACTTTTGCTTTGCTAATTGGGACAGGTGTATCAGAAACAGGATATTTTTACATAAGCCAATCAGTAAAAGTGTTCACAGCTCACCATCAAAATCTGAGCTTTTAAATCCATGTTTGTAAAGAATTAACTGTTTGAAAGTTAAAAAAATGAGTTGACTTTTTTGAGACATTGCCATATATAGAAAAGCCATAGAGTAATATCATATGAGGGAATTTATCTTATAGTTATAATTTGTTTATTTGTTTAACCAGTCTGATGATGAAGAATTAAAAGAGGATGATAGTGGGAAGGTATATTCAATGTAGGCATGATCATAGCTTTCTTTTCAGTTTTAATTATGTTGAATTGTATTACAAATTATGTTTGAATGAAGTTAAAAACTTTTGTTGAACGATATTACAAATTATGTTGATCAAAGTAGAAAATTATGTTCAAATTGCAAAAAAAAGAGTATGTTGAATGTTGCCAATTTTTTTTAATGTTACAAATTTTGTTGAAGTTAAAAATTATATTCAATTATGCTGCAAATTATTTTAAGATTATAAATCTAATTGATTTTACATCTTAAAAAATATCTTTGTAAAGTTATATTAATATAATGTCACTGAAATTATTCAGGATGATGTGATTTTGTGTCAGGGTGGTGTCAGGTACTGCAATGTGATTTGATGTATTGAGTCATTTGATAGTATATTGATATTTCAGGGTCATTGAATTGATATATTGATATTATACGGTGATTTGATATTTTATTAATATTTCAGAGAGATTTGATATTTTATTGATATTTCAGAGTGATTTGATATTTTATTAATATTTCAGACTGATTTGATATTATATTAATATATTAAGAGTGATTTGATATTTTATTTATATTTCAGAGTGATTTGATATTTTATTGATATTTCAGAGTGATTTGATATTTTATTGATATTTCAGAGTGATTTGATATTTTATTAATATTTCAGACTGATTTGATATTATATTAATATATTAAGAGTGATTTGATATTTTATTGATATTATAGAGTGATTTGATATTTTATTAATATTTCAGACTGATTTGATATTATATTGATATTACAGAGTGATTTCATATTATATTGATGTTCCAGATTGATATTTTTTTATTGATATTGCAGAGTGGTTTTATTTTATTGGTATTATAGAGTGATTTGTATCATAATGATGTTTCAGGGTGATTTGATATTATATTGATATTACAAAGGGATTTAAGATAGTGTTTTGATATTTTAGGGCGATTTGATATTACAAAGTGATTATGTGATAGAAGCTGTCACTAAAATTGCTATTGCTGGTCATAAACAAGATGTAGTTAAAGTTGCTGCGGATGGCAAGTAAGTGGGGTTGATCTATGGAGCATCAAGTTGTTCGGATGGGACAATAAATCAAGGCCCTGTGTGCCATAGGCTGTGTATGTTAAAGATCCTTCTACAGTTGGAAATCAAAAGAGTAGGCTAATGTCGCTTACCTGGCATAACTTTCCTCATTGCACAATGCTTAGTGTTGTCTCAGTCTCAATTAGCTGCTGAAGAATAGGACATAAAATCCCATTCAGTTCATTTTAATTTTACATTTCCAAAATGGTTTTTTGTTGAATTTGCGTCCTCTCTTTAACAACAATTATAAGATACAAGCTTTTTCAAATACATCGAATAAACATGGTCATTTAAAATGTTAATCGTATTTTTTCTGTCCTATGTATAAAGTATTACTCAAGCTTACTCTTGTTTTCAGGGCAGCCATATTTTTTTTCAATTCATAATCCCTGTAATATTAATGTTTTTCAGCATCAACCATGATATGTTAAGTGGTAAACAAGGGTTAATAGAATTCAGTAAAGGACCAAATTACAATATTAGAAAAGGCAAAAATGGCCAGCTGTGTGTTGTAAGTATCATTGAATTTATACTAAATTAATGATAATCCATTCAAATGCTGTGTTGAATACTATTTTAGGAATTCTGACTTTTATTGATTGTTCTGATTGGATAGTTTGTGATAAGGTATTGAGTAAAAAAATTGACGGAACACAAAAAGTTTGTCAGATCATGGATGGTCAATATAGAAAAAAAAAAACAATTTCATTGTCTTGTATGTAAATAAACCAAGTACTAACAATCCAAACCGCAAATCGAAACTCAAAATCCGAACAACATATTGGTGAAACATTGGTAGCAGCTAATGAACTTTTCACTTGATTTGAATATGTCAAAGTTCAATTTAAAGCTTTACATTGTAAATTCTTTTGTTCTTTTCTTTCAGATGGCTCCACCATTATCATAAAGCTGGTAAAGAAGAACATATAAAAAAGTGCTTTGACAATACATTCCAAACATCATATCATCCCTTACAGACCAAAATTCAAATATCAAATACTGGTATATATCATTGAGAAACATTCCACAGTAACTAATGTTTACTAAACAGAGAAGGCATATATCAACATCACAACAGCTCCCTTATCTGTATCCATTTTCAGTGGCGGCGCCATCCTTCCAAGACTGGGGGTACAAATAGGGGGCAGACTGACTCAATGGGTGGGACAACAGTGAGGCTGAATTCAAATTTTTACTACTCTGTGGTGGTGTGATAGTCGCAAGTCTCTCATAGAGCGTCATAGAGGGTTCTCTCAAGAAAATTTTAGAAAAAATGAATTGATTTTGTGCATTCTGACACATATTTTGGAGAAAAGATAAACATTAAGATTTGTTGAAATTAAAGTAGGGGTACAATTGGGGGTGCAAACTACTTTTCTAGGGGGGCAAATGCCTCCCCTGTACCTCCACTGGCGCCGCCACTGTCCATTTTACACAAAATTTAATAAAAATATCCTATGTTTTATGTACATCATCTTCAAAGGTTTTCATAATAGTGTAAACAACTTAACAACAAAATATAATGAATGATTTTAATGACTAGCTAAAGGCAGAGTGATTTAGCAAATTCACAAGCAGTTGTGAGGTACATGCAGTACTCTTAACCGACATACGCAACTTGTAATGGCTATGGTCTGAGGGTATTTTATCTTGTATATTGATATTTATGGAGACATTGTGGATATATCTCACTTTTTGTTTCGTATGAGGAGATATCACCATTGTCAGTTGCACCTAAAATGACACAGATACAGCTTTATGGGACAACTTTCACTGGGTAAAGTTTACGTTTCTCCTGTCATCCTCACACATATAACTCTGTCAATATATCATACTTACAATTCCAAAATGACATTATTCATCATCATTATGGAGATGTGGCAAATCAAAGAAACTGTGTCTGAGAACAAAATAGGAAACCGGTAAAAACACTGCATAAAACTTTAACCAGTGATTGTTGTTCCATATAGCTAAATCTATATATGTATACTTACAATTACCATTTAAGACTTGACACTTCTATGAGTTTATAATTTAGTTAAATTGAGTTTATACTGTATTATTAGATGTATTTATTTTAAAGGGACATTCCGCTTTTTTTGCAGTTCAAAAAAATTTTTTTCTCAAATTTGTGAAAACTATAGAAATATATCCCATAATGTATATGTAAAGTTTTAACTAAACAAATCCAGCCGTTTACTTTTTAACGCCAAAACTTTACGTAACCTTTTAAAGTTTGTTATGCTTTTTGCAAGTTGTTAGAAAACTACTGTACAGATTGTAGGTCAAACTGCTTAAATAACAATTATTACTCTCAGTTTTTAATTAACTTTATTAAAACAAATTCAGTTTGATCAAGAATATACATAGATATAAATAACATACTTTAGAAATATTTTCAGGTATAATTTACGATGTTTTTGATAATGAAAACTTTTTACAAAAAAAGCGGAATACCCCTTTCAAACTCGTAATCTTTGCTTAATAATTAGAGAAGAAATCTATAATTGATGAATTTCAATTGAGTATTTACTATTGCTCGTATACAGATTACATTGTTCAAAGAATTAAAGTAACTTAGTTGTTGTTAACTAAATTCATCTGAGATGCACTGGGTTTTTTCGTCACTTCTGAAGCACTAAACTTTCTTTGCAGTTCTGTTTCTCAATATTATAACCATTACTTCATGACCTTAATCAAAACTTTTGATTAATGAATCTCTTTGATTTTGATACTAATTTATTTTTTTAAATTTTCTATCTATTTACATATTTTATGGACATTTCAAATATGAAATTTTTAATATAAAATACTTTGAAAAGATAGAAATTTGAAACTGTCTTGGTGGAAGGATCATATTTGCATATGTATAGCCTATATGAGATAATTTTGATTTTCAAAATAGACATAAAACAAGCAAATTCCAACCCTTTGGTAACAGGAAGTAAGATCTACAGAATATTTCTATATTGCTTATAATTGACATTCTATGACATTTTTTGACATCTTTTTGTATCTATCTATATTTGTAATTTTTGTATAATTATGTGCCTAGTTAATTATCAAGTGCTTTATATTTTCAAATACAGTTTATGTTATACTTTATATTAATGTTATATTATATGATTATATTGAATTGTTGCATTTAGCATACTGTGATATTGTTTATTTCATAGTAATATTCCATTTACAACTTTTGTAAAACCTTAAATTCATGTAAAGCCTTTAATTAATGTAAAACCTATTTTAAGGAAGATCTGTGGAATTTGTAATATGCATAGCCTATAACTATAATAATTATTGTAAATAAGTTTTTGTATAGGATTCAGATAATGATCTTACGCTTAATTTCTGATGCATTTTCATTCATACCTTCCTAATTTTAAGATATCTTAACGTCTCTTTTCCAATTTAACCCTTTTGACAGTGGTGGCAACTTCTATTCCCGAGCATAATGGGGTTACTGACATTTTACATTATTCACGCTTTTCCAAAGGGTTAAGATTTCTTTCAAAACAAAGACCACAGCCCTTTTGCCCTAACAATTTGCCATTGAAAATAATAAACAAACTTTCAAAAAGAGTTACTGATAGCTATTTGGACAGGATGTTGGCTGGTGTAGAGACAGCAAAAATAGGAACATTCCGCAGGTGCGGGGGTTTTATCCATCAGAGGCTGGAATAGAGGCAGATGTTTCGAATTTAATATCAAAATCATGCAAAATAGCAGAAAGTCAACCCTGTATCAGTTTGTATTGAATAATATATCGGGGAATTTATAACCACTCTGCCTCTTTCCCTCCTTAATGCAAATGAATTCTTCATTTTTATACGACCACACATAGTGTGGTGTATTTTGTAATCAACCCGGCGGTCCGTCGGTCCTTCCGTTCACATTTGGCTTGTTTTCACTCTACAGGCAACAATTCTTTAAGGATTCTTTAGATTTTCAATTTGTGGGTGAATGTCATTATGAAGATGATCCCTATCGATTTTCGTGATGATCTGATATCCTTTCACCGAAATATCGGGTCCGACTTAGTGTTTTCACTCTACTATCTATATTGTGCAACTCGTGCTCACTCTACAGGCAACAATTCTTTAAGGATTCTTTAGATTTTCAATTTGTGGGTCAATGTCATTATGAAGATTCTTGCAAGTGAAAATTGAAATGTCAAGAGTTTTGAACACCAACCCGCTGCGGGCACACGAGGAGACAAAAATCTCTAGTGTCGCTTTCCACCATGTCGATAATCACGTGTGGAGCATGCAATTGAAAAAAAAAAATCTGGAAGACGATGAAATAATTGGAGACAAAATGAAAAAAAGCAAATCAAGCCTTGCACCCCAGCCATACACTCCTAGAAACACAACTGATTAAGGCTTGGCTTGTAGTTTACTCATATATTGTCAGCGACACTTATTTAAAGTTAAAGATTATTTTACACTATTTGTGAAGTAGGGTGTAAAATAAATACATATCAAAGATCAAATTATGGGTTTTTACCCAACATGTAAAATCATGTTTTAATGTAATTTATGACTCAACTCGGGTAAGTACAGCTACTCTTAAAACTTGTATGTATTATCACATTCATTATATAAGGCTGTATTCCAGAAATGTCTTTTTATTCGGGTGTATGCCATCCAACTTTGCGGTGATCTCCGAATTTTCATTGAAAATTCTACACACGGCGATCGCATAGTGGTTCCACCCTGAGAAACCGCCCCAGGTGCGTTTAAACTCTTCTGCTATAAATGTATATTATTTATATAGGGAAAATGAATAAACAAACTATCAGGTTCAAACGGAACGATTAGTTAATTTGTTATGTGGTATTACAGCTGAACCACCGGTGTATTATTAGAGACCAGGACGGACGTGTGTGTTGCACAAGTCACAGAAATTAGATAATCGTAAGTATTGAGAAATTTATTACAGATAACTTGTTGTTTCGGGGTTTCTTGTCAAGTAAGTAATATCTGAAGCGGCAATGGGGTATGAATTTTAGTTCAACGACAGATGACAAGTTAACGTCCGCTTCCATCTAACGTAATGAAATTGATTGGTTTTCCAAAGGGGGGGAGGGGGGGTCCACTTCCATTTTTGGATCAACAATATTGATGATGCCCATTCATTAGAAATTTTGTCAATTTAATGTATACGCGAAACTTACAAAGTTTGTCTATTTTAATTTGTTAAGCATATATTTCCTACAACAACTTGGTTGAGTGTTCGTAGTCACCCGAGGATGAACCAGAAGATCAGAAGAATCGAAAAAATATTTAGTATAAGTTATTGCCCTTGTTCTTGAAAACGCGTTCAATTTTTTAGCTCGTAAACAGTCTAGAAGGGACAATATTTCTTGATGGATTTTAACGAAACTTGGCATGAGTGTATGTAATGATCCAAGGATAAACCCTATTGAAAATCAGAAAAATTGAAGAATATTTAGTATGAGTTATTGCCTTTGTTCTTGTAAACGCGTTCAATTTTTAGCTCGTAAACACTCTAAAAGGCAAACTAAAAGGAAACTTGGCATGAGTGTTTGTTATCACCCAAAAATAAACCCTATTGAAAATCAGAAAAGCTCTTAAACACTGATTCTTGCTGGAATTTAGTTTTATTATTCAGCCCCGAGCTAAAAATTGAACACGTTTTCAAGAACAAGGGCAACATCTCATACTCAATATTATTCAGTATCGTCCTAAAGAGTTCAGAAGAAGTTTATGACTGAAGGCTGAATATTTCATACTGGTGATTGTTACTGTACTGCTAAATATTTTTATTCAGTGGGCGTATATTACCTTGCCTGGCAAGCTATCTTTATGTATTTGTGAACATCCGGGTCTGAGTGGTGTGAGTGGTAGTTAAACTAAATATTAACACAATATAATATCCGCCTGTATAGCTATTTAAAATTAAATTGTTGGCTTTCGAGGAAGGAACGAGTAAGTGCAGTTTTTATAAAATCGTTTCTGAAGAAAATGGCTTTTTGAAAATCGTAATTGTATGATGGAATGTTAGGTATATGTCAAGGTTTTGATGGTTGTTTCAAATGATCTACTGACGAAGCTGACAGTGCTTGTTTAATACCTTGCCTCGAAAACTAACATAGTACCTTTATTTTGGACTGGGAAGCAACAAGACGAAATAGAGCAATGTTAAATATGTAATGAAATAACTGCAACAATTGGTTTACTTAGAAAACTATATGTGTATCGGGCAAATTGATATCATCGGTTTGCACCATTCCAATTTCCTATCAGCAGATTATCAATTGCGATAGTTATTATTAGTAGAATTGCAAGAACCACAGACGTCTGACTGAATTGTAATGGTGCAAAGCTATATTATCGGTATCCTTATAAAAAACTCTTTATAATCCTTTTAAATTGTTATTATCGTCTAGGAAGAATAAGGCTCGTCTAGCCATCCACTGATGATCTGAAGATGAATCTCTCTGAAAACGGTAATAATGAAGAAAGTGATGGACAGTCATTATGGGAGAACTTTACAAGGAGAGGTAGGTATAGGGACATCGTAAAATATCTGGTATTTGTTTTATGTACTCATTTATGGTTCAACTTCCTATATATACCCAATTTGACTTCTGTCATGATAAATTCAACAGAACTAGCGCAGCCCCCACCATATTTGATTACGTGTAGTATCATACAACATCTATTGAACAAACACTACTTTGATTATTTCAGTGAAAAAATATTTCTCAACACGATCATCTGCAGGAAATAACAATGGTCAGATCATTAGTGTCCCACCACCTCGCATGTACCATCAACCTATTCATAATCCAAACCAACGTATCCAGGCTATTAATCATCCTCAAGAAACAACTCCACAACCTGTAAACCAACAAAAACCGTCTGAAAAAAAGATAACGTTTTGGCGTAAGTATATGAAGATCCTAACTGTGTTCATACTTAATAAATAATACTGTAATAATTCGACTGTTGCTTTATTTCTCTTGAAGGAAAGTCCAAAGGTTAATAACGAATAGGAAGAGACCCGACTTATTCCAACGTTTTTTGGCTATCTTATATATTAATTATTATTTCATTGTTCAGGAAGACAACCATCCATCAATGATCCAATACCACAAAACCAGGATATCAATCATCCTCTGCCATCGACGTCATCTACTGAACACTCAAACCAACAAACCAAACCAACACTCAAACCAAAGCAGTCAGAAAAAGAGAGAAGGTTTAGGCGTATGTTTAAGAATTATATATTATCCCAAATAGTGTACATACTTCTGTATTTACTTGACTTTCGTTTTAGTTCGCTTCCCTTTCAGGAACCTTGATCGATTGTATTTCCCTCTTCCCTCTATAAATCCTTGCTATTTCGTTATTACTCATTGATTACCCCCCAAAAATTTCAAAATTTCCTCAGGTTGAAATCCCTGTGTAAAAGGATTGGCCAAAGGGAAATAACAAACTAAAAGGACCTTTCAATAAGCATAGGTCGGACAAATTAATATATTTCCACTGCAATTTGTTCGTCGTTTTTTTTAAATGTGTGTTTTAAATCAGTAATAGAGCCTTCAAATCCATGTGTGTCAAGAACTTTCCGCGTTTGAAAGTTAAAAAAACAGTCATGAGACATTGACATCCATAGGAAAAGGAATAGAAATTCCTGGTTAGAGATATTCTTGAAGGAATTATAGGCCTACCATTCTAGTACTTCTGAAGATTATTTACTTATATTCATGACTCAAATCAACCCCCTTATATGGCACATCTGTCCCTTTAATTATAAATTTCGAACTACCCTAGCTGGTTTGTTATTCGTTTGTAACTCTGTCAGTAATCCTAAACGACAACCCTTCACCGGAATTATATTTTCACCCAATGTTTTTAATATTATTGCATTGTTCAGGAATATATGAAGTCCTACATGAATTCAACCTTCAACATTTGGCAGATAAATTTGTTAAAGAAAGGGTAAGTATATAATAATATTGTAAAATAATCAACTTAATATTTTTATAAAAGCGAATGATTAGCCTAATTCAATTTTAAAGCAAATGTATTGCATCTAAATTTTGAAATCTGTACCTTTGTAAATTCTGAACACCTTGAAATCAACATGCAATTTGATTTTTTTAGTAATCTTACCAGCCGTAAAAAGTACGAACGAAAGTTTTTGATAATTTTTATTTAAATAAAGGTGGATGTGGAAGATGTAAATTTTTTATCAGACGGAGACTTCAGGAAATTGGGTATCAAATGCATAGGAGTTAAATGTGGACTGAAATCTCGTTGTTTAAAATGTAAGTCTAGTCATCCGAAAATCAAATTATAATTTTTATACAATTTTGTTTCTTTCTGATTTCTGATATTTTTCATCTCCATCTAATCAAACAAAGTCCTGTGATTATTCACAACCAATCGCAAAACCCAAAGATGCTGTCACATTGCACTACGTTTAGCTTTCGTTTTCCCGCAATTCGTAGTATTATCAAGAAACAGGTGTACATTTTGAATTCTAAAAAGGACCTCAACAGAACGGAAATTCCAGGCATTTAAAAACAACTCTTTTTTTAAGGTAGTTTATATCAAATACGTTATACGGGTAATGTTTAATGCCGTCAAAATTTTAAACAATATAGTTTTGTTGAGTTGCATGAGAGCTTGGCGTCTATCAAGTGTCTATCAGCTTGTAAATCAGATTTGTATACCATTCTTTTTTTATTGAAATTGTATGGTTTTTTAACAGTTATTCATAATGATTTTCAGTAACACAAGACTTGGAAAAGAAGTTGATGGTTCATAATGAAGATAACAATGAAGATCTGGCTGAAGCACACCATACAGCACCTACAGTTTCGAGTGATTCATCACATGCAGCACATACAGTTTCGAGTGATTTATCACATGTAGCACCTACAGTTTCGAGTGATTCATCACATGCAGCACCTACAGTTTCGAGTGATTCATCACATGCAGCACCTACAGTTTCGAGTGATTCATCACATGCAGCACCTACAGTTTCGAATGCTTCATTACATACAGCACCTACAGGCTCGAATACTTCATCTTCATGCGCAGGTAACGTAGTGCGAACGGAATGGACAAATACTTTATACTATAGTATTATACGTTTGCATAAAATATTGTCAGGAAAAGTTCGGAACTCATTTCTGTGTTTTTCGAAATCAGAAAGCATTTACTCCAAGGTTATTTGAGTTTTCTGATTTATTTTCTACAATCTCTAGCTGCATCTTCTGATGGATTTTCTACAATCTCTACCTGTATCATCTGATGTATTTCTACAATCTCTACCTGTATCATCTGATGTATTTCTACAATCTCTACCTGTATCATCTGATGTATTTCTACAATCTCTACCTGTATCATCTGATGTATTTCTACAATCTCTACCTGTATCATCTGATGTATTTCTACAATCTCTAGCTGTATCATCTGATGTATTTCTACAATCTCTAGCTGTATCATCTGATGTATTTCTACAATCTCTACCTGTATCATCTGATGTATTTCTACAATCTCTACCTGTATCATCTGATGTATTTCTACAATCTCTACTTGTATCATCTGATGTAGTTCTACAATCTCTACCTGTATCATCTGATGTATTTTTACAATCTCTACCTGTATCATCTGATGTATTTCTACAATCTCTACCTGTATCATCTGATGTATTTCTACAATCTCTACCTGTATCATCTGATGTATTTCTACAATCTCTACCTGTATCATCTGATGTATTTCTACAATCTCTACCTGTATCATCTGGTGTATTTCTACAAGCACTACCTGCATCATTTGATGTATTTTCTACAATCTCTACCTGTATCATTTGATGTATTTTCTACAATCTCTACCTGTATCATCTGATGTATTTCTACAATCTCTACCTGTAAAATCTGATGTATTTTTTTACAATCTCTACCAGTATCATCTGATGTATTTCTACAATCTCTACCTGTATCATCTGATGTATTTTCTACAATCTCTACCTGTATCATCTGATGTATTTCTACAATCTCTACCTGTATCATCTGATGTAATTTTTTATTATAATTTTATGATAATTTTTGGTATTAGAAATGCTAGTAGAAATGGGAACTGAAGCGAGATTTGAAATGGGTGATAAAGACAATGTTGTAAAAACAGGTAAGGTTTGATTTTTGGTGTTTGAAACGTCAGTGGATGTTAGTATCTTACAGGAGATTTATATAGCTTCTAATAATCTTCTAATTATACCTAATTGAAATTTTAAAATCGTACAATTTTCCAAATGAGAAGCGTGTACAAGCTTCATAAAAACTGTTCAACGAAATTCGATGTTTATTAATTCCTATACCTAATTGAAATTTTAAAATCGTACGATTTTCCAAATGGGAAACGTGTACAAGCTTCATAGAAACTGTTCAACAAAATCCGATGTTTATTAATTCCTATACCTAATTGAAATTTTAAAATCGTACGATTTTCCAAATGGGAAACGTGTACAAGCTTCATAGAAACTGTTCAACGAAATCCGATGTTTATTAATTCAGTGCGACGATGAATTTCAAATTGAACGCACTGCAATTTCGATTAAAAGTTATATATATTGCGATTTTTTTCGATTGACATTTTGGCAAGGAATTATTATTCTGGTTCTTTGTTTCAGAACAAAGTATTAAAGCAGAATATATTGGAACAGTTACTACAGGTTTATTTCGTTCATTTCTTACTTATTTCATAATAACTCGCGAGCAACTAACTTCGCCAAACAAACAACAACTGTGCCATAACCATTATACTGTGACAAAATTACCATAACCATATTACTGTGACAAAAACTGCCGTAACAATATAACTGTGACAAAATTGCCATAACCATATTACTCTGATAAAAATTGCCATATCCATATAACTGTGAAAAAATTTCCATAGCCATATAACTGTGAAAAAATTTCCATAGCCATATTATGTGACAAAATTGCCATATAAATATAACTATGACAGAATCGCCATAACCATTTACTTTTGACGCTGTCATAACAATATAAATTGAATTGAAGTCATTTTCATAAATAAAGGATAAAATGGCTATGGCATATATCATATGTTGTATTGTAGCTCTTGATACTGAAGAAATAACAGAACATGACCTCGAAGGACCTACAAGTGAAAAAGGTAAGTAGTTTCAAAATCAGTCTGTTTTTTTTATTATTATTTCATGTTTATGGAAACTTAAATTGCAACATCCTTTTTTCTGTCTTGACGTCCGTTGTTGTTGTTGAAAGTCAAGAAAAGACGACGCCAGTTCATTTGAAGAACATAGTGTTTCTTGTTCCCCAGTGGTGCCGCCAGCTTCCCGAGACTGGCGGTACAAATAGGACAACTGTCTAAGCTTGATTTAAAATGCAGCAACTCTGTGGAGGTGTCATAGTCGCAAGCTTCTCAAGGAGGGTTGTCCTAAAAGATATTGCATTGATTTGGTGAATTCTAGCACATATTTTGGGGTAAAAACGCATAAAAATAATATCCTTAAATTTCTCAGAAATAAAGAGGGGTGCAAACCATTTTTCTAGAGGGACAAATCCCCTATGTACCCCGTCAATGCTCTTCCCGATTCACAAACAAGTTTACTTTGAATACCCTGTAATAAGTTGATATTGAAACCATTGTATCATGCTGTATAGGAAAGTCGGAAAATAAACTGACAGTAAAAATGGAAGAACATGCTGTATTTGAAGCTAGTAATAAAAACAACGTAATTGAAAATCGTAAGTAAATTCCTTAATACCATATTACTTAATTAACTTAGAGTTGACTTGATATGCGATTTCAATTTTTTGTTTGTTTTAAATTTGATGAACCATGACAATGAAGCAACCATTAGTACTAACGTAGTGCCACAAATGGAAAGCGGACATTGCTGTTGACTTCGGAGTTTAGAGTACTTATACATCTATGAATTCAGAAACAAATTACAATGTACAAACGCCCGTTTTCAACTTTTCTTTCTTTTTTCCTTCAATATTTTTGTTTTATAAGTTTAACGTAAATCTTTAGTTAGTAGATGTGTCTTCCCTTTTTTGGGGGGTCGGGGTGAAGAGTGGGGGGCGGGGTCATCCATATTTGAAAGGTTATATTTTAACTTAAGCATAACTGTATAGGCTACTCTTGTTGATATTATCTAAATACCTAAATACCTAAAACATAACCAAATACCATTGTCAATTCAGTTGTAATATGTCTTTCAGAATTAAAGGTAGAAGCAAGTGAAATAAATACTGTTGGTGGGAATCCAGGTGAGCGTATATCACTCTGATAGAACTAATTCTTTATATTTCTGAATTTAAAGGTCGCAATCGTTGAAATACTATTGCCAAGATTGTAGAAATTAATTCCTTTAATCATTCGTTAAGTTGGCACAGTTCAATAAACTTTAATTACTGTCACCCACTGTATTAGTTTTGTTTCATCCCAATTTTCGAGACTTTTTTGAAGAATAACAGTTATAAAATCATGTTCTTTTTTCAATGTTACGCTGGAAATATAGCATTGAATTATTGTAGAGTTATATCAACTTTTACAAAAACCATTTATTTCCAGTCCCAAGTGGTGCTGGTCTACCAGGAATGCCAGGTCTAGGTGGCTATGTTAATATAGCACTTGGAGAAAATGCTGCATGCAACTTGAACAATATGGCAAAACTTGGTATGTAGCCACGACAAGGTCTTTTAATCAAGATTAGAGACTAATGTGGTAAGGGTGTCTCTTGCAGATGCAGATATTAGATCCAAACTATCTATACATTTGCTGGATACAATGCTGTTTTCTATTAGTTTTCTGGATAGATGCTGTTGCCTCTGCAATCAGATCTAGATTTGAGTGTGTTTTCTGTTGGTTACTGTACTATCTTTATCGTTCCCGATCTTAAATCGAGTTCAGTCTAATATTGATCCGAATTGTGTCCTGATTTATGGTAGGTAATCGAAATATTGCAAAGCAGTAAAGCACAATACAAAACATCTATTACATTAGATTATCATCTAACATTATTCTAACAATGTATACTACAACTGAACCGCTGTTAAAAATCATAGTAAAATTATTCTCGTCGCAATGTAAACTCTGACAAATTCCAAATTCCAAGAATCCACGCAGGCAATCAGTCTGTATCTGGAAAATTAATCAGTAGGAGTAAAAAAATATATATTTAATTATAGATATAAAGAAGGAAGAAGAGCCGGAATATTTCATACTTAATTTTGTCGCCCAAAGTAGTAAGTAAACAATTGAATGGACTTATTTAATATTACTTACACACCGGGTGATACGGCGCTTCTCATAGAATATCTCAGAAAATTTTTTTAAGGGACAGATGCGCCATTCTTTTAGAGTAATCATACTTTATTCTCAGAAACGGGAATTTTTTAGCTAGGCCAATCAGCAATAGTCTTCACAGCTCACAGTCGAAATTTGAGCCTTCAAATCATATGTGTCCAGAGTTATCCACGTTTGACGACTCATCATTTTAAAATAGGCCTATGAAGAAAATACATATATAGAAATACTGATTAAAATTCCTAGTTTAAAATATTATTGAAAGAATTATGCGATTTTCGTACATTTCTAGTACTTCTGAAGGCTATAAACATATTTTCAAGACTCAAATCAACCCCCCCCCCCCCCCC